TTGAATCTCTCCTTGGTCAGTTTCCATCCATTATTCCTTGTCTGGCTTTCAGGTTCTTTGGAAAATAGCTTGACCCCGTCCCCTCTGTGGCAACCCCTCAAATATTGGAACACTGCTATCATGTCTCCCTTGGTCCTTCTCTTCACTAGACTAGCCATGCCCAGTTCCTATAACCATTCTTCATATGTTTTAGTCTCCAGACCCCTAATCATCCTGGTTGCTCTCCTCTGCACTTTCTTTAGAGTCTCAACATCTTTTTGATAGTGTGTTGGCCAAAACTAAATGTGGTACTCATGGTGTGATCTTAGTAGGGCTTTATAGAGTGGTATTAGTACCTGACTTGATCTTGATTGTATACCTCTGTTAATGCAACCTAGAATTGCATTGGCTTTACTCTCTATAGCAGCATGATAATTAAGTAGGCTGACTGAAACATTATGGAAGTTGAAATCCAATCCATCTGAAGGCTGAATTATGTGAAACTGCAAAGATTATTTTCCAGACAATAATGTGGCCTGAGATAGTCTGATAGAATTTCAGAGATATACTGCAGTAGAATATAAATCTTCTGATTTAACATAAATTCACTGATATTATTTTATTATTGCACATAACACCACTTAAACCAAACATATCTTTCTTACAACATCCGGATGTAGCAACACAAAGACAAAGTGCAGTTTCTTTAAGCAGCAGGTGCTACATAAGGACTCAGAATTACCTGTTCCCCCTTTGAATCTGGGTTGCTGTCCACCCCTCTAATAAGCAAAGTGTCCAGTGACAAATGGAAGGATGCCATTGTCCTAATCTTGTCAAGAATCTGTTTCTACACAGAGATCTCTGGATTTAGCTTTATGGATTCAATTTTTTTAAAAAAAATAAATTCGCTTTCCTAAAGTAAATATCATTGTGACTGACTTTTTTCCTTTAATATATGATTTCCCCAATTAGATAGGGAAAGCAGGGGACAGGAGAGGAAAGCAGGAAAGTAGGTGCAGCATCCCATTTCTAGTTTATATTACAGTGGGATTCTTCCTTTTTTTACTTTACTTGGTGAAGAAGAACTAGAGTTAGAAAAAATATCATAGAGCTTTGATTCCCTTGCCTAGCGTGTAGCTATAGCAACATATAACCAAAATGTGTATCTGTTTTTGGATGGATGGATGGATGGATGGATGGATGGATGGATGGATGGATGGATAGATAGGATAAATAAGATATGGGACATAAGCCATTTGGGGTGAGCTAAAGCAGCAAAGAAGCACAACTATGGCCAAGCCGTGTTGTCATGAAGCCCAATCAGCTGATCTGATTGTTAGCTAGGGCTGTTGTGCTAAGATGTAGAGACATCCAAATCCAATCTGCTATATAAGTGCAGGGTCCTTGGTGCTCTTTGAGCTTGGTTGTTTCCTTGGTAACATCATCAGTGCTAGTGGAGAATGAAACTTGCTCTCCTTTTATATACTAGTCTAGTGTTTGCCCTGTCAGTGTTGGTGGGAGTGGTCTTGGTGATTCCTTGAGTTGATTCCTTGGATTGTTGCTTATTGTTAGCTTGTTTGACTGCATTGATAGTGTCTGGATTGTGGCATTGTTTGTTTCTTGATTGTTGGTCTAATGTTAATTTTGATCTCTGTTCATCTGAATATTGATTGCTGGTGAAGAGGTGTTTCAGTCTTTTTGTTTCCTTTTTGGCTTTTAATTCTCTCTTTTGAATGGTGTGTAGATGTTGTTTATCTCTATGTGCCTGTTGAATGCCAGGCTTACAATAACACCAAGATTTCCATAACACCAAGATTAACATTAGATCAATGCTAATCAAAGGGTGTGTTACAATGGCAGAGATTTTGTGATATTTTATTTTGCATTGATTATATTATAGTAGTGTATTTATTAGTAAACCAATAATTACTTCTCCCCAAATGGCTGCAAAAACAATAGTAACTTTTCTTTCTCCTGATGGCAATCTGCTGATTTTGCTGCCAAAGCTGGAGGTTTTTTTTGGCAGCGCTGCTCCCTGGATTTGAATGGGAGCAATTGGGAATAACCCAGGATGGCTTTCGGACAGCTGTGGACCCACCTGGGAAGGGGAGTCTTGAAGATTCTGGTTCCCTCTGGGAAAGGTTAGAAAGTCATGGGCATCCATCTTGGCAGTTCCATTTTCTTAAGTGTGTCTTTTAACTTCACTTTTCAAAGCTTTTGTTTTATTTTGCTTTTTACTCTTAAAAGTTGACTTTTAAAAGTTGCGCTTTTATCTTTGTCAAGGTACCTAGAACAACAATGTATCAGGCTATGGACAAGCAAATGTGTCAGACATTTGAAAAAATACAGTTTGATAATATGGAATATTTATTTGAAAGCTTTTAAAAAAAGTTTGATGAAATGATAATGGTTGTGAAAAATACTCAGATGGATCTAGCTATAGATAAATTAGACTCACAAAAGGAATGTGACCTGAAAGCAGTAGATTCCCTAGGGGGAAAATGACTTCTACAGACTTAGAATTCACAGTCTTAGAACTAACCTAGTCAATCCCATATTGAAGTTCAAGCCTGCATTTTTTTACAACAGCAGAAAGTTGACTAAGTGAAGAAGTGATAAATTGCTTTCCCTAAGAAAATTAAAAAATATGGGGAAATAGATTTATCACATTTAAGTGCAAAACAATTCCATCTGGATTTTTTGGGGGGGATAGACCAACTTTGGAGATTGGACATATTGTATTTAACAAAGAAACATTGGTAAGAGATAGTATTAAGAAAAAAATGTGGATATTTGATCGGGGACAAATCACTGTTATTTTTTGGGATGATTTAAGATAGATAAAATGCCATACTAAATTTTCTATAAATTGATTAAAATATCAGTTTGCTTCAGAGGGTTTTGAAACTTTAATTTTGCCTTTCTTATTATTATTGTTCTTCCTGTTAATATAGACATCAGGCTAATAAATTGCAAATAGATTTTGTAGTTTAAAAATTATTGGGACCTCTTTTGCAAGGGGTGGGAAGCTATTTTGTAATATATTAATCGGTATTCAACTAGTGTATGTGTTAATTTTTTAATGCACTTTTCTTTTTTGATGTCTTGTTTGTTTTGTGGGGTTTTTTTAACTACTACTTTTTGAAAGATTTTTTTTTTAAGTTTTGTTATTTGCATTTTGTATTCTAATTTTTTTTAATATAGATTCTCACTGGCTCAAGCCATCCTTTCTTCTGAGGTGGGTAAAATGAGGACCCAGATTGTTGGGGGCAACATGCTGACTCTGTAACTGCTTAGAGTGGGCTGTAAAGCACTGTGAAGCAGTATATAAGTCTAACTGATATTGCTATTGCTACTCAACCCTATGTTATATATTCTAAACTGACTGTAAACTATTCTTCTGCATCACAAATACCTGGCTCCTATTGTGTTTACCTCAGACCAAATGAAACAGAATGTTGGCAGTGTCCAATAAACTCTTCTGTTTTGAAAACTTTATTTTCTTTTATGGGGCACTGACCACAGGCATATAGAGGGCAGGGGGGAAAGCCCAAATCATGACACATCAGGCA